GTTTAAATCTTGGTATAGTTTTATGAAAGAGTGTTAATAGTGTTGTGAAATCAGATTTTGAGATAACTAAGTGTCTGGCTTTAATCACAGTGTTTGATTTGGCAACATCTTTGCAAGGTCATGTGTACAATTTGTTATGGACTTTGTCACTTCAATCTCCATCCCTCTTTTTCTTTTGTAAGTAGTGTTGATTAGGCCTCTTACCCAAAATTTTGGATTCAATATGTATCTTCTCTAAATCATTCTCGATTCCAAAATTGTGAATGAAAAAGAATCCCGTTCGAATTGCTCACTAGAATCACTCCCTAACATCGTTGGATATTTTTCATTTTTGACCCTTAAAGATATGATTCGATGGTGAAGATGGATCAGGATTAAAAGTCACTTCTCATTAGCGAGATTTGGTAGGTTCCTCTTCATCTTGAGAGATTTTAATTGAACATAAGCACCCTTCAAAACTTGAATCGTGTTGGCGATGAAGAGTTGTGATTGCTTGCTTTATTTACGGAAGAGATCCTAGAATCGTTTCACAAAACTCAATAATTGGGCATTAAAATTCGTCGCCACCATTTTGAGTTCTGGTTGATTTGTTCTGTTTGTTTTCTTCCTCGAATCAACTCTATCTAAACCTTCATACCAGCGATCATTTAGTATGCACCTTCTCATCAAGGCTCTCTCAAAATGTGATTTGTTTCGTTTGTTAATGTATGATTACATATCATAGGGATATGATGAGGAAACTAAGGGTCCAATGTGAAGCTTGCTTGATGCGTGATAACCTCTGAGTCCTTCGCCTAAAAAACTGTCATTGCTAGTCACTTGTTTACTTATTTACTTATATAAACTTTTGGTTCTACCACCATAATTACATTGGGGTTAATAAACATAAGTTTGGTACTAACAATGTGGCTTTAGGGATACATATAATCATCCAAAGATCAAGGAAGTCTACACAATGGAAAGAGTCTTTTTAGGACCGAAGAACTCATTTTTTCTGAATAAATCCAACATGCCCCTTGATTTGTCTTTACGCTCTCAATCTCTAGCTTCCGACATGATGGCCATTTACATTATCCATAAATGTATGATTTTTTTGTTTCCAACAAAAAATTCAGCAAGATGTTTTGTTTCGTATAACTTCGGACAAATTATTAATTTTATTCACCTACGAATATCTGTATTACGCAATCAAATGTCTTTCCTTACATCTCACTCTAATGTCTACTAATGAATGCATAGATATGAAAGCAAAAATCCATTTATATTATCTTGAGGATTTTTGTTTTAGTTAATCTCCTACATAAGTGGTTATGGACTAAAAATAATGTTAGGATTTAAGATTTATATAGTGGTTTGATCTTAGATTTAGAGATAAATTAACAATTTAGACAAGAAATTGATCACCAAATTCCTCGAAAGTACTTCTCGGGTGGAAACCATCTCCCACAATAGCACTATCAATTAAAAGGTTCTCACAAATGCTCCAACTAGCGGTTCATTTGTTTTTTAAAGCTAAAAACAACAAAGAAGAATTCGTAAGTGTGAAGACTCTAACTCCATGTTACTTAGATGCTTCCTCCTATAACATGCAAAAGCAATGTCGGTATAAGGTGAAAAGGGAATATTGTGATTTACGTTTTTCTTTGCAGATGTTGTGCACAACCTTGGCTAATTGGATGCTTAAGAGGTTTGATGACCCAAAGTCGTTATTAATTCAAATACAAAGATGAAGAACTACACAAATCAAAAAGTTGTTTTCAAGTAAAAGATGAAACTGATAACAAAACATATTTCACTAAAAGTGAAATAATATATTGGCTGGTGTTAAGGTCACGGAAAATTATGCATTATATAATGCATTTGAAACTAATTATTTCTTCCAACAAACTTTATTTTACTGCGTGGAACGCGCATATTTGTTTCCTAGT